ATATTTGTTTCCTAGCGTTTTCGCTCCCATCTTTCCATTTTTAGGTGTAAGTAGTCCCTGCAGACATGTTACATTTACAGTAAAGATGGCCAAGCTCCAATGAAAAAGGATGACCAATATTCATGAAGTTTAGTAAACAATACATTATCTTAGCGTACCTTTAAATCTTGAATACTTGAAAATTGGTTTTCAATATTTTCATACTGTATAACATTAGGGTTACGATACAGACCGTAATGTCGTTAAAGTAGTAAGAGTATGTTAGTATCATCGGGACTTGACGTTGGTCTGAGTTTTCTTGAGGATTTGCTTTGTAACTAGGTGGAAGGAGATGGTCCACACTCTTGAGCTGAGAATCTATGCTTACTTTAGTTCTTGGTCTGAGTTCTCTAACACCCTATGAAGGGTACTTTAGTCAGCCAAAATGAAGATGTGATATAGTTACATATGCTGAAAAAAATTGTATTTGTCTTGTACAGCGATATTACATACCTTCAGCACGAGAAATGTCACGGTTGAGTGGAGTGTGCAAAGCTCCAGTCATACAGCATTTTGCTGAGACACTCTCAGGATCGAGCACAATTAAAGGTTTTGATCAGGAATCTAGATTCCGTGACATGAGCATGAAACTAATAGATGGATATTTGCGGCCAAAATTCCACAATGCTGGTGCTATGGAGTGGCTTTGCTTTCGGTTGGACATATTATCCCTAATTACTTTTGCTTTTTCATTGGTTATCTTAATCTCTATTCCAAAGGGAACAATTGATCCAAGTAAGTTTCTTCATATCGTACATTCATACTTATATCTCTTTATTGCAGCATGTGCAATGGTACAAACGAGATGCGTAGCTGACACTTTTTTTTGCCTTTTCCTCAATGATTTGAAGGTGTTGCGGGATTGGCAGTGACATATGGGTTGAATCTGAACACATTGCAATCTTGGTTTGTATGGAATCTTTGCCTAATGGAAAATATGATAATTTCAGTTGAAAGAATACTTCAATACACTTGTATACCTACGGAGCCCTCTCTTGTTATAGAATCAAATAGGCCTACAAGTCACTGGCCTACACATGGAGAAGTTAATATCCGCGATCTTCAGGTATTTATGTTCAAATTTTTTATGTATAATCAACGGACCTATTAATGATTTAATTATTATGCCTCAGTACTGAGCCATTTGTTGAACCATCTCATTTAAAACCTTAAGTTATTAAAAGTCTTCAATTCGCCCCCTCACGTGGGTGTCACGCGTTTTCTATAAGGTGATTTATACCACAAGTATACGGCGTCAAGTTTTGTAATATAATAATGGAGTTATAGTGTCGAACCCCACGGGGATTGATATTTGATTTTATACTAAGTACTATAATTATTTTAGCTTTTAATTTATCTAGAGAAACAAATTTTAAAATCAATATCGTTAACTAATCTAACGA